TCAAATTTATTTCTCTATACATGTCAACTTGACTATAAAGTTTACTGTAAGGTAGAATTTATTTAATTTATGACAACTGTATAGTTATAAAAAACTTCTGTATCATAAAATAGATTTGTTATCATGATAATAACTAATGAAAGTAAACTTGGAAAAATTTGCGACCATTTGTAATATAAAATAATATATCAAATTCTATATTTAAGTACTTTGCTTTTGAAAGTTAACTGTAAAATAAATCGTTTAACCATATTTAAAAACAATTTCTCTAAAAATAAGAACACTTTCCAGGTGTGGAACTTTATTTATCAGTGCCAACCTTTTTGTTAAATATCTATGATATACTTCTATACTAATATTATAAAGAGGAAAGATTTGTATTTTTGTATGTATTGATATAATTTAAAAACTACTGGGCCGATTTTATAAATTCTTTCACTATTAAAAACTACGTTATCATTTTACACACGTTTTTATTTCACACAGGCGATGTCGCGGGCAACAGTTAGTTATTTATATTCATATTTTAGAGACATCAACGTATTTATAACAAGTATAATTTTTATGATGCCCGACATATTTGGTTCTACTCGTATATCTATGAAGACGAGTTTTAAAATTAACTCGATCATAAACACGTCAAGTTGGCATTATAAGGCTTCTTTGAGCATTTGCGTCACATGTACACAGCGTTTTTACTTTAGTATGCGGTACTAATGTTATACCCGAGTTTACCTCTCGTATGGCAATTTTAATTAAGCGGACAGGTTACTGTTTAAAAAAGCTGTTGATTATTATGCGTGTTCACCATTTAGATGTTAATTAGATTTAGCACCTGATCAAATTCTTTCGGCAATGTTGTGTAGTTTGACACCAAAATGAATATAAGCATAGAACTGAATCACATTTTAATATTATAATTAAGCCGTTGAATGTATTATTAAATCATCGATACTGTCAAATCATTCAGAGACAAAGACATCATACTAATATTATCAATGCGAAAGTGTAGATGGATGTTTGTTAGAGTTTGTAGACAAAATGTTTGAACGGATTTCGATGAAACTTGGTATAGATGTGGAGGATAGTCTGGAAGAACATATAGGCCACCAACATTTTTTTTCCACGCTCACGGAATCGCGAGCAGAACCTAGTTTAAGAAACATTTCTTAGATCTCTTTGTCATTTATAGAAAATTTAATATTAAAAATAAAAAAATGTTATATTTTCCAAATATAATAATTATAAGTTACAAATTAAAAGTGGTGGAAAGGTTAATTTATTAAGAATCTCGAGTATTTTCCTTTTCTTTATCTTACTTCTCCTTACTTTTTTAATTAATTTAAACGTATTACTTGCAATCAAATATTAATTATAAAGAATAAGTAAAAACTATTTTTGTTGTTTATTTCCTGGAATGAAGGCAAAATCTGCAAAGATTTCATTACAAAATGACTTGCACAATTTCGTGCCTTAAAGTTTCTGGTTAGGCCTGGCTTCATACGATATAGTAGTTTTGATCTTAAGTTCTTGCAATCGCGATCGTTTAATTTCTTAGAAAAAATGAAAGATGTAATATGCGTAGCAGAATTGGCCGCTGGCTTACAATGGCTTTTAGTTATGCCTTTGTCAGAACTTCTAATCAGAACTTAGAAGATAATGATGTTTACCTTTTTCCTTTACACTTTTGTAGGAATTTAGTATACACTAGTAAATAAGTTGGCTACTAAGCAACATGTTTAGGAGCCAATCAACGACTCTGGGTTTGGCATTAAATGTCTAAGTATTATGCCTAGTCAATTCTAGACAACGAGCCTGTGAATTCATTTAATGATGCGGAACAGATGCAGGCGGTTAAAAAAAAACCATAGGCACAAAAACACCCACAAACAAGTCATTATATAAGTTAGATAAATGAGATAAGAGAAACAAGGAAAATTTATATTGCGAAAGTGAATGGTACTGTCTATTGAAACGGCCTATTTGATCATGTGTGTTGTGTACCTTATATGCCGTAAAAATACACAACAAAACGTAATTTCCAAATAACCAAAGCAACAACTATAAGAAGTTTCTACTCTACAACTTTTATGTAGGTAAAGAGCATCTCTATAAAAGCTGAAAAAAGTATTTGTGTGAAAAATGCAAACATAAGCAAACATCACCTAGGAACTCAGGTTCACTGGACGGATGCGTTTTATATTTTTTTAGTTCTGCAATGTCTGACTAAATATAAATTTCGACAGGTCCCATCAATGGAACAATACGGAAAAAAGCTTTTTTCGTCGTCAAACATTAAACCCACTAAACTATTACAAAACACATTGCATATTATTGTTATACAAAACGGTGAATATTGATCAACCTTCACCGGAAGTGCTACCGGACAATCTAGCGATCGATCTATCGATTAATTAGCTCGATCGGTAATACAATGCTTGCAATGTCCTGTTAGAGTTCGGTTTTCGCTCACTCATCGCGGCAGCTGTCCTCTGTGACAAAACAAATGAGACGCGGCGCATAGCATCGGCTTTCGAAACGAACGCACCGGACCCGGCTACGTACCGAAAATACCTTCGCAGTAAGTGGATCATAAACGTTTGATTGACTGAGACGAACGCACAGTAATTACACCATTGTTTTATCGAACTGTAGCTTTCGGAAGTTTCGTATTAACATCACGCTATAACAGATAACTATGTACGGTTATGCGTTCAGTACTTATAAGGTTTATTCTAATATGTAGTTCTGATTCAAACTGAACGAATTACAATTTCTGTACAAAAATTATTTATTTTGATAAATTTTATTTAGGGTTTGAGTTAATATTCGACGTTAATTAAAAATGACACTAATCAATATCTATACTGACATTATAAAGAGGAAACATTCATATTTTTGTATATATTGAAATAACTAAAAAACCTACAGGGCCGATTTTAAAAATTCTTTCACCGATAGAAAGGTAATTTAACATAGGTAACATAGGCTACATTTTTTATAACTTTTTAATTTCACGGGGACGAAGTGACAGACAACAGCTAGTATGGCATGCGTATCGAAAGACGCTTTTACAAAAATGCAAAATGTTTACTGCACTTCGAAGTGAAAGTGATCTCAGGACGTCGTCTCTTTCATTCTCTGCGTAAAAAACAGAGATGGCAATATAATTTTGTTTCGCATCTGGAGTGCAAACACTGTGGGTCACTGCTAGAACGAGGAGAGGCTTCCTTGACCACATCCTGTGTGCCCTTTGCTGTTAATGATTGAAGCACTGCATTTTTAAGTACTTTATTGACCACAATCCTGACATGCAATGAAACCACGAGATCCTAGATCACATAAAATGTTAGTTCTAAAATGTGTTGTGTATAAAATCAATAGCTATGAATTTTATTTAGTACTAGTACTAGGCGGGGTTTCTTGTCATGATCTTTGTGTTGGTTCGCTTTTTCTAGTATTTTATTTATCTTACCATGAAAAAAAACTATTAAACCATGATGTTAAAGATCTATACTTTTCAAAGTCCAATGTTCGTAAGATATGGGTTTCTTACCAAGATTGGATTGTTTTAGCTCCCGATATTTCGGCACAGTTGTATGCTCCATGTTCACGGACTGACTGAGCTGCTTTTCAAAGTCCGTTGGAAAAAATAGCAAATTTTTTCTTCCTAAATACCTTTATTAGGATTGCTTATTCTTAAATGACTACAAAAATACATGCTTACGTTAATTAATAAAAAAAAATAATGAATTAACATTAAAATACCTTAAGATTACACGCTTTGAAGTTTCGGCATATAAAATACCAATTTATTTTAATTCATCGCCTTAATATTTTGTTTAAATCATTCTTGTAATCAGACGAACAGCTTTTTTTCGTTGCCCTATCACCGACAGATCTATCTGATAAGAGTTAGAGTCGTTTCTATCTATGACCGGACATATTTAACGCAAGTAACTGTCACTAACAGGTTAATCTTTGAATTAGTTTAACTGATTCCAGTCATAATAACAATTAAATATTAATTAATTCAACTTCTAACCAGAAAACACTGAATTAATTTCTAAAATACATTTTTAACATGTTTTTTAAGGAAAATAAAAAAAACAATACAAATGTTGTCCTTATTTAAGGCCTTTACCGGATAATTTACAAATTAAATATACAAATAATATCATTTGTTAGAAACAATATTTTTAACTATTTAGGAGAATTAAATTTGACCTTAGAACTTACATTGAATGAGATACATACATTAATCAATTTAAATGCTTTTCCTTAAAAATCTCTTCTCGAATTTCTCTTTGTTTTTTTATGTAATTACTTTATCATTGTTAACATAACTCATATTTCTATTGTAACTAAATAAAAGAACAGTTATCGTAATACAAAGAATTACGAAATTTTTACAACTTACGTTTAGCGTCGGCGTTGGATGTTTCAGTAAGAACATGATTTCTTTTTTCATTCTGTTTAGGATTCCCGTAATATGTTTAATTGTCTGAATGTTTCTTTACTGTTTACGTATAATATTTCCTATATTTCAAAAATAATAAATATTAGTCAATGCAAAATTAACTTGCAACTTTGTTAAATTACTACTAATGATGAGTAATGTCGCAGAATGTTCAGTACGATAATATTAAAGGATCTATTAGATAGTTATTATTTTTATTTTTTTGATGATTTAATTAATTAACATAGCCTAGATAATAGCAGTTATATAATAAGAATAATTTAATGATAAGATTTGTAATCATATCAGCTAACAAACCGTCAATTTGTAAAACGGCCGCGCTCAGGGCATTTCCGATATTATTTTTCGTATCTAAACATATGTTTAACACTAGACACCTACAGATTAATTTGTAATAAATCACATATTGAAATAAATATAAAAATAGTTTCTTTAATAGATAATAACAAAAAAAAAACAAATGTAACAAATCACTACTGGCAGCAATAGAAAATGAAAAATTAGCTTTACGATAACTTACCGTTGGGTGATATATTGAGGGCCTGTGAGATGGCGGCGGTCGCCGGAGGCGCCGGCTCCATCTTCCAGGGGGCGCAGCACGAGGCGGGCGAGAACTCAGGCGTGGGGCCGCTGCCCGCAGATATCAACATGGTAGAGTTCCACTGTCCCCCAACTGTACGCTAGCATATGCAACAAACGTTCCACACCGACACGGGTACAGTCCACGGTAGCCAGTCGAATAGCCGCTACTCGATTGTTTTTTAAAGTCAACCGAAGCATACGAGTGACGGCAACCGGCCGCACGCGCTCGCTCGAAGCTCAGCCAGAACACTGAAGAGCGCGCTTGGTGTGCCGGCGCGCCCACTCGCGCGCCCACTCCCATTAGCACGCCTCGGAAAAAATCACCGTCGACGAACAATAACAAAAACTACCTCCGCTATATCGAACCTCCGCGCACCTCTCACTCTAACGCTCTTAATTCGATTTCCGAACGCGTCAAAACTACAGCAGCGCTCGATTCATTGCCGGCCTTCCGTCCTGAACTTCTAATCCTTCAAATTATTATCATTCTTATCTTTAGAGTCATAGAAACCATTTTACCTTACAATGATTGAGCGTTATAGGATGTTTTGAAAGTGAACGCAATGGAAACTACTCCTACTCACACTCGTTCGATTCGGCTTAAGCTTGAACCGTATGAAAGGGACAGGTGCTCTACCGCTCGGTGGTAGAATTACAGTAGTGAGCACAGGTGATCTTTTATCATTACTTTAGAACGGAGGTGTTAATATATAGCTCTCTCGTTTACTCGAGTGTAACGTAACGCCGGCAGTTGGAGACAAAGACATAAATGACTCGCTTGTTAATTAAGCGCGGTTCAAGTTGATCACGCTTACCATTTTAATAGTCGCTGTAACGCCGCACACCATTCTAATTAAGTCGAAGAGCAGGGATTTCATTTTTAAATTGAACACTTACCTATACTTTGTTAGCCCATATGGTATTCGCTTATTGATTCGCGGTATGTAAATAAAGTGAGTGTTGTTGAATACCCTCGGTAACTTTAGAAGTATTTAAATGTTCATTATATAGTTAAAATATTAAAGAAGCCTAGATCGCAGATGGTGGCTTACATATGCAATCTGTTACATTAATAGCTAAGATTTAAATTAAGGTTTAATTATAAATGGCCTATTCTGGAGGAGATACAAGCAATAATTACTGTTGTACTTTAGTCGGTTTTTGCTGGAAGTACAATGAATACGTTATCAGTGCGGGGCTTTTTTATTAATAATTACAGGGAATCGGAATCGCCGGAAGGTCCCGGCCGAAGTGCAACTGCCGTGCGTGGAAGTCGCTTTTCAATCGACTCTTTTGATCATAAATACACTTTCTTTGTAGGGGTTCTTTAATTTGTGGCAATCTCGATATTTGTGGTTTCCGCTCGCCTGTACAATACAATTCTATGTAGACAATACGCTTCCAATGTAACTTTTACATTCACTTTACTTATATTTTATGTATAAATGTATAAAAACTCAAGATAGTGTGGTTATTAAAAAAACTTTGATTTAATATGAGAATTAATGCGGCGGCTATAATTTAAAGTTTATTTCAACTTTGTTTTTACTTAATTGAAACAATTAATTTGCTGCGAAATTTACATTATACATAAATTTTCTCTAGCAATTTCCATGAAGAAGATTTTAGTTGTTTAAATACCTATTAAGTATCTTTGTAAACGACAATATAAAATTGATGGAAAACTATACAAAAATAATTTGATAATTTCAGATGAAATTCTCAAATTAATTAAATTGCAAGATTAAAAAAACGGCAATATAATGAAGATAATTATTCTCAAAAAATCACAAAATTCCAATCTCTGGTTGAAAGACTAGTGGAATTTGATAGTTATATCACAAGATTCACTATGACTTGGCGACTATACAAAAAAACTATGAAACGGTTATTTGAGCAATACTCGTTGCTTAGTATTTTTAACGTTTACCTTACGCATCGATTATTTTTTAACATTTTATTTATAGTTAAACATGTGTACGTAATATGAAACGGATTGCTGACCTTATGGTCCAGTAAACATCGTATCTGCTTTCTACTAAAGATGTTGTGATCAGATCTCGAAGCCTATTTAACCTTTTATATTATTAAATTATTATTACACTTATTATTTGAGTATACACCAACAAGGATATCTCACCCGGTAGGCATAAGTCAAACTAAATTATGACAAAACACCCTCCTAGTAAAAAGTGTCACAGGATCCTATTTGTACTTGTTCTTGCTTTTAGCTATTTTATGCTAAAGTAGGTTTTACATACTTTCTAACAGAACTAACGGCGATAGCAGCGCCTCTCGCACCGTCCCCGATGTCCGTTTATTATTATACCTACTATTGGAAAATGAATCAGATTTCTATAATTGAATTTAAAAGAAATGAACATCACAAAATTTGTTTTTTAATCTATTGGAGGTTTAAAAATTTACAAATGCTGAACAGAATTCACTCTTTTATTAATTCCTACGGGGACCCAGAGTAATTTCCTAAATTTTTCAAAGTGTAAATGTAGATAAAAACCAAAAACTCTTTAATAGACTAGAATGCAAACACCGACGGATAATAATAATAGTCAATATGTCATGCATTGATCACAAATAAACTAACATCATGTTTATGAAGACAGAACATACAAACTGCAGACGACGTAAAATTGCCGGATTAACTAAGACCCTACAAAAATCTACTAGAAAACGGATAAGTACTTACATTTTTATATTTATACTCCAATAATGTTTTAGAAAGTGACAGCATTTTAACAGCAGTCTGAATAAAAATCTTTACGGAGAGCAAGCATGAATTCACGGCCTATTATTTAATGATATCCGTAAGGTCGTTATTGGAGTGAATGTTTTTAATTTTTGTTTTGTTTTGTAGCAGACCGAGCGGCCAGCTTCCTCGGACAGGCGCCGACGCGGGGAGAATTTAGTGCCAAGATACGGCGTGGGTGTTACCTAATGAATATATTTATTTGTGACGGCGCTCTCGCCGACTTTTATCTGACACCAACGGGAGACAAGTCCCTATCTGGGAGCCGTAAGGTGCCTCCCTGTTGCTGAACGGGTTCGAGTAAGCCCGTCTGTCCGTATGTCCGTATCGATTCGTCCGCGCGATAAAACTCCCGAGAACTCTAAGTGGTTTCGTGGCTCCGGTGATACTAAAATTAGCGTTATCATTTTATTTGTGAGCAAAGGTGTGTTGTAATAGTTTCGAGTGAAGATTTGATGAGTGCAATTAACATTCCGAGATTAGTTCACATTAAATTTAATGACATGAATTTATGTTACGTTTTAACCGTTTCAAATGTTAAGTAGATGTTATGTAGCTTATTTGTTGTATTTTAACTATTACAGATCCCATCAAGTGGATAGAATGTTTCATTATGTTTGTTGTTAAAAATTAATAGAACTTTAGTATAGACATTTGGGTTAGTATAGCGAAGTTTACCATGGACAGTTCAAATAACCTTTTGAATTTAGTTTTACTTCTGTGGAACCTTTTCATATCATAGACAGGTTAATAAGGCCTAAAAGAACAAAGACTGAAGACCACTTAATAACATTGCGTCCACTTTCCAAAAGATTCACGAACACATAAATTGTTCCTAGATATTCCTTTCCTATTAATTTATTTTTATTATATATGGTACGCACCTTTAAACATCTACCTATAACAAAGGAGTAGAAAAGTCAATATAGGAGATAACCATTTTTGCATTTCTCCTTACTACATACTCACTTAACAAAGGAACGAGGTGTTGCCCGCTAATACAATAACAAGACGAATTAACAACCGTGCAGACCTGAGCGTCCAGAACAACTTGACACATGAAGCTAATGAACGAAACAATTCTGTCATACCTGCATGTATCAGCATTTTCACGTCGCGGATCATCTTACATCGGTGTCAAAATGAAGGCGCGTCGTTCGACATTCGTCGTGGTCTATACTACAAAGGCGCGGCGACAGAACAGGCGTCGCCCATTTCCATTATAATATGTTCAAAATATTTATGCTATCTATCGGAGACCACCCAAGTGGTTCTGATGTGATCTGACAGGTACCTTTAGGAACAAAGCCATCGTCCCGCGTCTATTCACGCGGCGAACTTGGCAGCAGTTCTTTCTCTCGTATCGGAATACATTGGGCTACCTGTTCATGCGTATTTCTGAGCTGTCAGACACTCTTTAACAAATACGATATTTACATAACAAAACATATTAATAAGTCACAAGGGTTCATAACAATATCGTAACTTTTATTTTTATTCTATCGTTGAGGTTTATTTTTTCGAGATTGTAGACAGTAGCTCATCATTTATCAGTGGCGTGATCATCTTGCCAAAAAATATTAATTTACTTAATGGAATTATACGTAATATCAATACAGTACGATTTCAAAGCAGAAGTAAATTTAGATATAGGTAGATAGATAGGTGTCTGTCTCCATAACTTTGAGTATTCAAATAGTTTTAATAGGTCGGAAGGCTTGTCTATTCGTAAAAACGTTATTATGTAGACGTTCATAATGAAATTCTTTAGACATGTCACAATATTTAACAGTGTCAATTGGCCGACGACATTTATGTACAAAATCATACTGTATTTATTTTTGTGATTATTGAACAAAATAAGTTACTGTACAAGAATTTCTGCTGTATAGACCCACTTAAAAATAAATTAATTTTTAATTTAATTACGATAATTTTTAGATGTGGAATATGTATTAAATTTATTTTAAAGTGATTGCGGTAGTATCTTTCATCCATAATTTCTATTACATGATCGGCCATCAATGCTAGTCCACCAACACGATCAGAGAGGAAGTGGTTTTATAGTCGTGTCCTTTCGTATCCTATAACGGCGTCACCGTAGGCTCGGTATCTACGAGCATTACGATTATTAGCCCCACCCACAATGCGCTGGGGCGGAGCCTCACGCGACTCCGCCCCTTAGCTTGCAGCGCTTGACACAAACTTATTCGATAAAATTAAACGAAGCAGATCTCGTCTCGTTGATTTAGCAAACGAATTGAAATGTAACTTTTCATTCCGATGAACAATTCTTTTGATGTTACAACCAAAATTGTACGGCATTTTATTTAAAATTCTATCCGTTTTCTATAAACAATGAAGTGCTGTTTTTATAAACTGTATGTAACTTTACTTTGTAAACCTTTTTTGTTTGGTATCGGGGGCGGGGGAAATCTTCACAAAGATACCCTTCCTTCTGGGGTGAAAACAGGGTTATGTTCGGATTATACCCA